ACATATCAGATTGTTGACTATTTTGAGTTCCTATCCCTAGTTCATGGTCCATTGCTATCAGTATCAGTACATCTCAGATTGTTGACTATTTTGAGTTCCTATCCTTAGTTCATGGTCCATTACTATCAGTATCAGTACATCTCAGTTTGTTGACTATTTTGAGTTCCTATCCCTAGTTCATAGTCCATTACTATCATTATCAGGACATCTCAGTTTTTGACTAATTTGAGGTCGTGTCCCTAGTTCATGGTATATTACTATCAGTATCAGTACATCTCAGTTTGTTGACTATTTTGAGTTCCTATCCCTAGTTCATGGTCCATTACTATCAGTATCAGTACATCTCAGTTTGTTGACTTTTTTGAGGTCCTGTCCCTAGTTAATGGTCCATTGCTATCAGTATCAGTACATCTCAGTTTGTTGACAATTTTGAGGTCCTATCCCTAGTTCATGGTCCATTACTATCAGTATCAGTACATCTCAGATTGTTGACTATTTTGAGGCTCTGTCTTTAGTTCATGGTCCATTACTATCAGTTTCAGTACATCTCAGATTGTTGACTAATTTGAGGTCTTGTCCCTAGTTTATGGTCCATCACTATCAGTATCAGTACATCTCAGATTGTTGACTATTTTGAGTTCCTATCCCTAGTTCATGGTCCATTGCTATCCGTATCAGTACATCTCAGATTGTTGACTATTTTGAGTTTCCAACCATTAGTTCATGGTCCATTACTATCAGTATCAGTACATCTCAGTTTGTTGACTATTTTGAGTTCCTATCCCTAGTTCATAGTCCATTACTATCAGAATCAGGACATCTCAGTTTGTTGACTATTTTGAGGTCGTGTCCCTAGTTCATGGTAAATTACTATCAGTATCAGTACATCTCAGTTTGTTGACTATTTTGAGTTCCTATTCTTAGTTCATGGTCCATTACTATCAGTATCAGTACATCACAGTTTGTTGACTATTTTGAGGTCCTATCCCTAGTTCATGGTCCATTACTATCAGTATCAGTACATCTCAGATTGTTGACTATTTTGAGTTCCTATCCCTAGTTCATGGTCCATTACTACCAGTATCAGTACATCTCAGTTTGTTGACTATTTTGAGGTCCTATCCCTAGTTCATGGTCCATTACTATCAGTATCAGTACATCTCAGATTGTTGACTATTTTGAGTTCCTATCCCTAGTTCATGGTCCATTACTATCAGTATCAGTACATCTCAGGTTGTTGACTATTTTGAGTTCCTATCCCTAGTTCATGGTCCATTACTATCAGTATCAGTACATCTCAGATTGTTGACTATTTTGAGTTCCTATCCCTAGTTCATGGTCCATTACTATCAGTATCAGTACATATCAGATTGTTGACTATTTTGAGTTCCTATCCCTAGTTCATGGTCCATTGCTATCAGTATCAGTACATCTCAGATTGTTGACTATTTTGAGTTCCTATCCCTAGTTCATGGTCCATTACTATCAGTATCAGTACATCTCAGGTTGTTGACTATTTTGAGTTCCTATCCCTAGTTCATGGTCCATTACTATCAGTATCAGTACATCTCAGATTGTTGACTATTTTGAGTTCCTATCCCTAGTTCATGGTCCATTACTATCAGTATCAGTACATATCAGATTGTTGACTATTTTGAGTTCCTATCCCTAGTTCATGGTCCATTGCTATCAGTATCAGTACATCTCAGATTGTTGACTATTTTGAGTTCCTATCCTTAGTTCATGGTCCATTACTATCAGTATCAGTACATCTCAGTTTGTTGACTATTTTGAGTTCCTATCCCTAGTTCATAGTCCATTACTATCAGTATCAGTACATATCAGATTGTTGACTATTTTGAGTTCCTATCCCTAGTTCATGGTCCATTGCTATCAGTATCAGTACATCTCAGATTGTTGACTATTTTGAGTTCCTATCCTTAGTTCATGGTCCATTACTATCAGTATCAGTACATCTCAGTTTGTTGACTATTTTGAGATCCTATCCCTAGTTCATAGTCCATTACTATCATAATCAGGACATCTCAGTTTTTGACTATTTTGAGGTCGTGTCCCTAGTTCATGGTATATTACTATCAGTATCAGTGCATCTCAGTTTGTTGACTATTTTGAGTTCCTATCCCTAGTTCATGGTCCATTGCTATCAGTATGAGTACATCTCAGTTTGTTGACAATTTTGAGGTCCTATCCCTAGTTCATGGTCCATTACTATCAGTATCAGTACATCTCAGATTGTTGACTATTTTGAGGCTCTGTCTTTAGTTCATGGTCCATTACTATCAGTTTCAGTACATCTCAGATTGTTGACTAATTTGAGGTCCTGTCCCTAGTTTATGGTCCATCACTATCAGTATCAGTACATCTCAGATTGTTGACTATTTTGAGTTCCTATCCCTAGTTCATGGTCCATTGCTATCAGTATCAGTACATCTCAGATTGTTGACTATTTTGAGTTCCTATCCGTAGTTCATAGTCCATTACTATTAGTATCAGTACATCTCAGTTTGTTGACTATTTTGAGTTCCTATCCCTAGTTCATAGTTCATTACTATCAGAATCAGGACATCTCAGGTTGATGACTATTTTGAGGTCGTGTCCCTAGTTCATGGTCCATTACTATCAGTATCAGTACATCTCAGTTTGTTGACTATTTTGAGTTCCTATCCCTAGTTCATGGTTCATTAATCTCAGTATAAGTACATCTCAGTTTGTTGACTATTTTGAGGTTCTATCCCTAGTTCATGGTCCATTACTATCAGTATCAGTACATCTCAGATTGTTGACTATTTTGATGTCCTGTTCCTAGTTCATGGTCCATTACTTTCGGTATCAGTACATCTCATATTGTTGACTATTTTGAGTTCCTATCCTTAGTTCATGGTCCATTACTATCAGTATCAGTACATCTCAGTTTGTTGACTATATTGAGTTCCTATCCCTAGTTCATGGTCCATTACTAACAGTATCAGTACATCTCAGATTGTTGACTATTTTGAGGTCCTGTCCCTAGTTCATGGTCCATTACTATCAGTATCAGTACATCTCAGATTGTTGACTATTTTGAGTTCCTATCCCTAGTTTATGGTCCATTACTCTCAGTATCAGTACATCTCAGATTGTTGACTATTTTGAGTTCCTATCCTTAGTTCATGGTCCATTACTATCAGTATCAGTACATCTCAGATTGTTGACTATTTTGAGGTCCTGTCCCTAGTTCATGGTCCATTACTATTAGTATCAGTACATCTCAGTTTGTTGACTATTTTGAGTTCCTATCCCTAGTTCATGGTCCATTGCTATCAGTATCAGCTAGTACATCTTAGATTGTTGACTATTTTGAGTTCCTATCCCTAGTTCATGGTCCATTACTATTAGTATCAGTACGTCTCAGTTTGTTGACTTTTTTGAACTCCTATCCCTAGTTCATGGTCCATTACTATCAGAATCAGGACATCTCAGGTTGATGACTATTTTGAGGTCGTGTCCCTAGTTCATGGTCCATTACTATCAGTATCAGTACATCTCAGTTTGTTGACTATTTTGAGTTCCTATCCCTAGTTCATGGTTCATTAATCTCAGTATAAGTACATCTCAGATTGTTGACTATTTTGAGGTTCTATCCCTAGTTCATGGTCCATTACTATCAGTATCAGTACATCTCAGATTGTTGACTATTTTGATGTCCTGTTCCTAGTTCATGGTCCATTACTTTCGGTATCAGTACATCTCATATTGTTGACTATTTTGAATTCCTATCCTTAGTTCATGGTCCATTACTATCAGTATCAGTACATCTCAGTTTGTTGACTATATTGAGTTCCTATCCCTAGTTCATGGTCCATTACTAACAGTATCAGTACATCTCAGATTGTTGACTATTTTGAGGTTCTGTCCTTAGTTCATGGTCCATTACTATCAGTATCAGAACATCTCAGATTGTTGACTATTTTGAGGTTCTGTCCCTAGTTCATGGTCTATTACTATCAGTATCAGTACATCTCAGTTTGTTGACTATTTTGAGTTCCTATCCCTAGTTCATGGTCCATTACTATCAGTATCAGTACATCTCAGATTGTTGACTATTTTGAGGTTCTGTCCCTAGTTCATGGTCCATTACTATCAGTATCAGTACATCTCAGTTTGTTGACTATATTGAGTTCCTATCCCTAGTTCATGGTCCATTACTAACAGTATCAGTACATCTCAGATTGTTGACTATTTTGAGGTTCTGTCCCTAGTTCATGGTCCATTACTATCAGTATCAGAACATCTCAGATTGTTGACTATTTTGAGGTTCTGTCCCTAGTTCATGGTCTATTACTATCAGTATCAGTACATCTCAGTTTGTTGACTATTTTGAGTTCCTATCCCTAGTTCATGGTCCATTACTATCAGTATCAGTACATCTCAGATTGTTGACTATTTTGAGGTTCTGTCCCTAGTTCATGGTCCATTACTATCAGTATCAGTACATCTCAGTTTGTTGACTATTTTGAGGTCCTGTCCCTAGTTCATGGTTCAGCAACTTCATATTAATAAGCAATGTTGCTGTCCATCAGATTGTCTCTTTTGAATTTTTTTATGCAAACAGACAAGGCATATCTCTGAGTCAACAGTTTATTTATTATAGATAAGAATATGTGGCTTTGTGCCAATGGGACAACTCTCAATCAAAGTTGCAATGCATGAAAAATAAACAATTATAGTTCAAAGTACGGCCTTCAACACGAAGTCCTGTAAATAATGTTGACATTTACCAACATTGTTTTCCTTATGAATAAAGAATTCAATGAGGCAGTACAGCATATATAATTCTTGAACATGCTGTATATAGTATGGGATTAGAATTACCAAACATACAGATGCATAAATGCAGAGAATGTCAAAATAGATATGTTATATATGTGTAAATTGCAGAAAGGTATCAAAAGGTTTATTTGTCTTTATTTTTTGTGTGTTTCTTACAGTGTCGTACAAGAACGCACATACTGGAGATAAACGTTATCAATAAGATGTTAGAGGGAGGAGAAGATTTAGTCACACTCACTGGTACTCTACAGAGACACATAAACACGCAGGCTGGTAAAACACGTCATAAATGTGATGTTTGTGCCAGAGAATTTAGTGACTTCAAGAAACACATGAGAACACATACTGGCGAAAAACTTCATACATGTGATGTATGTGGTAAAGTGTTTAGTCAGCATGGTAGTTTACAAATTCACATGAGAACACATACTGGAAATAAACCTCATGACTGTGAAGTATGTGGTAAAGGGTTTAGTCAGCTTGGTAATTTACAGAGTCACATGAGAATACATACAGGTGATAAACCTTATGACTGTGATGTATGTGGTAAACGGTTTAGTCGGCTCTTTATATTACAAATTCACATGAGCACACATACAGGTGATAAACCGCATATCTGTGATGTATGTGGTAAACGGTTTAGTCAGCATGGTAGTTTACAAATTCACATGAGAACACATAATGGAAATAAACCTCACGACTGTGAAGTATGTGGTAAACGGTTTAGTGAGCAAGGTACTTTACAGAGACACGCGAGAATACATACAGGTTATAAACCTCATGACTGTGATGTATGTGGGAAAGGTTTTAGTGATCTTAGTAGTTTCAAGAGACATATGAAAACACATACAGGTGATAAACCTCATGAATGTGGTGTTTGTGGTAAACGGTTTATTCAGCATAGCAGTTTACAGACACACATGAAAACACATACAGGTGATAAACCTCATGACTGTGGTGTATGTGGTCAACGGTTTATTCAGCATAGCAGTTTACAGACACACATGAAAACACATACAGGTGATAAACCTCATGAATGTGGTGTTTGTGGTAAACGGTTTATTCAGCATAGCAGTTTACAGACACACATGAAAACACATACAGGTGATAAACCTCATGACTGTGGTGTATGTGGTCAACGGTTTATTCAGCATAGCAGTTTACAGACACACATGAGAACACATACAGGTTATAAACCTTATAACTGTGGTGTATGTGGTAAACGGTTTAGTCAGCTTGGTAGTTTACAAATTCACATGAGAACACATACAGGTGATAAACCTTATGACTGTGATGTTTGTGGGAAAGGGTTCAGACGACTTGGTGATTTACAGACACACACGAGAACACATACAGGTTATAAACCTCATGAGTGTGATGTTTGTGGGAAAGGGTTCAGACGACGTTGTGATTTACAGAGACACACGAGAACACATACAGGTTATAAACCTCATGAATGTGATGTTTGTGGGAAAGGGTTTAGTGATCTTAGTAATTTCAAGAAACATATGAAAATACATACAGGTAAAACATGTAAACCCAACATTTGAGATGGCAAAGGGTTGAGTCAATTTAATAGTTTAAAGTGAAGTATGAGTATACATACCATGGAATTTACTTTATGACAGTGGTGTATATGGTCAGCATTGTAAACACATATTGTCATAAGAACATATATATATTCACTCTATGTAGTATTTGTATTTGTATCCATCTGATGAGTTAAACCTTTTTCTACTGATTTTTATAGTTCGTTCGTTTGTTGAACTGTTGCACCACTGTCCCATGTTAGGGGAGGGTGGGATACCGCTACAATGTTTAACCCCGCCACATTCTGTATGTATGGGTCTGTCCCAGGTCAGGAGCCTGTAATTCAGTGGTTGACGTTTGTTTTTCGTTCATTTTTAGCTCACCTGGCCCAAAGGGCCAAGCGAGCTTAAAATTCTCGATCACTTGGCGTCCGTCGTCGTCTGTTAACTTTTACAAAAATCTTCTCTGAAACTACTGGGCCAAAATCAAGCAAACTTGACCACAATCATCATTGGGGTATCTAGTTTAAAAAATGTGTTCGATGACCCGGCCCGCTTACCAAGATGGCCGCAATGGCTCAAAATAGAACATAGAGGTAAAATGTAGATTTTGGCTTATATCTCAAAAACCAAAGCATTTAGAGCAAATCTGACATGGGTAAAATTGTTCATCAGGTCAAGATCTATCTGCCCTGAAATTTTCAGACGTATCAGACAACCCGTTGTTGGGTTGCTGCCCCTGAATTGGTAATTTTAAGGAAATTTTTCAGTTTTTGGTTGTTATCTTGAAAATTATTATAGATAGAGATAAACTGTAAACATAAATAATGTTCAACAAAGTAATATCTACAAATAAGTCGAAAATGACCAAAATGGTCAATTGACCCCTTAAGGAGTTATTGCCCTTTAAAAACAATTTTTGTCTCGCTTGACGGAGTCAAAAAGTGAGACATAGGTATGCTGTTTCCGGCGTCGGCGGTGACGGCAGCGGCGGCGGAGTCAACAATGTATTAGTTTGTGATTAGGTCTAGTTTATGGTGAACCACTAGTGGTTAGTCAAAGATAATTGGTATGCAGTTGTATTAGCATTGGCACATCTCATTACCATGGAGATTATTTGGCCCCGCCCCCTCAGTAATGGTCTATTGACTTTGAAACTTTTGCTTAGTTATCATGTATTAGTTTGTGATTAGGTCAGTTTATGGGGAACCACTAGTGGTAAGTTAATGATAATTTGTATGCAGTTGTATAAGCATTGGCATATCTCATTTCCATGGAGAATATTTGGCCCCGTCCCCTCAGTCATGGTCTATTGACTTTGAAATTTTTGCTTAGTTTTCATGTATTAGTTTGTGATTATGTCAGTTTATGGGGAACCGCTAGTGGTAAGTTAATGATAATTGGTATGCAGTTGTATAAGCGTTGGCATATCTCATTTCATGGAGATTATTTGGCCCCGGCCCTCAGTCATGGTCTATTGACTTTGAAATTTTTGTTTAGTTTTCATGTATTAGTTTGTGATTAGGTCAGTTTATGGGAAACCACTAGTGGTAAGTTAGTGATAATTGGTTTGCAGTTGAATAAGCATTGGCATATCTCATTTCCATGGAGATTTGTTGGCCCTCCCCTCTCACTCACGGTCTATTGACTTTGAAACTTTTGCTTAGTTTTCATGTATTAGTTTGTGATTAGGTTGGTTTATGGATAACCACTAGTGGTAGGTTAATAATATTTGGTATGCAGTTGAATAAGCATTGGCATATCTCATAACCATGGAGACTATTTGACCACGCCCCCTCAGTTATGGTTTATTTATTTTGAAATTTTGCTTAGTTTACATGTATTAATTCGTGTTTAGGTCTGTTTAAAGGGAACTACTTATGATAAGTCAATGGTATTTGGTATACACTTGTATTAGCATTGGCACATCTCATTTCCATGGAGTTTGTTTAGCCATGTACTTTCAGTCATGGTTCATTGACTTTGAATATTTGCAAAACTTACATGTTAAAGTGTTGCTATTTTAATTTCAACATTTGCATTATCGAAATTACAAAAAAGCAAGACATATCTCTGTGATAACAGTTTATTAACAAATTTTCGTAAATTTTTGTAATCTTACAAAAATCTTCTTCTCTGAAACTACTGAGACAAAAATAATCAAACTTAGTCACAATCATCACTAGGGTATCTAGTTTAAAAAATGTGTCTGATGATCCCGCCTGCCAACCAACATAGCAGACATGGCTAAAAAGAGAACATAGGGGTAAAATGCAGTTTTTGGCTTATATCTCTGAAACGAAAGCATTAAGAGCAAATTGGACAAAGGAAAAATGTTCATGAGGTGGACATCTATCTGTCCTGAAATTTTCAGATGAATCAAACAACCAGTTGTTGGGTTGCTGTCCCTGAATTGGTAATTTGAAGGAAATTTTGCAGTTTTTGGTTATTACCTTGAATATTATAATAGATATAAATAAACTGTAAACAGCAATAATGTTCAGCAAAGTAAGATCTACAAATAGGTCAACATGACCAAAATGGTCAATTGACCCCATAAGGAGATATTGCCCTTTAAAGTAAAATTTTAACAATTTTTCAGAAATTTTGTAATCTTTTACAAAAGATTTCTAAAACTAAATCAATATTATAACGGTTGCATTTTTCATGTATCAATTGTACATAAAAATATCAGGTGAACGAAACAGGCTCCTTGGAGACTCTAGTTTGTACATAAATTAGGCCGTTAGTTTTCTCGTTTGAATTGTTTTACATTGTCATTTCGGGGCCTTTTATAGCTGACTATGCGGTATTGGCTTTGCTCATTGTTGAAGGCCATACGGTGACCTATGGTTGTTAATTTCTGTGTCATTTGGTCTCTTGTAGAGAGTTGTCTCATTGGCAATCGTTAATGTTGAAAGTGACTTATAGACCCAAAGGGTCGGGTGTTCTAATTATTGTTTTTATATTTCACTGTATTATATTATATTTTGTGAAAAACATGTCACTATGATAAATAATTTACTTACTTACTTTCTTACATACCACGGTACCTCTTCTTTTTTTATAAATGTTATAAACTTCACGACTGTGGTGTATGTGATAAAGGGTTAAGCTAGCTTAGTAATTAAAAAAATGTAAGGGTTACGCGGAACCCAGTGTCTCGCCTACTTTATGAAGCTAATAATGTTTTAGGATTGTATGTAATGTTAACTGGAAGAAAACTGTGTACATAATTAAGTAACATACGGAACAAGTTGCTTTCTTTAAAAAAAGAAATGCAATCGTAAACCTCAATGCTTGTTTGGCATTAAATATAAGATAATTGTTTAATAAAGATGCATTGATTTACATTTTTTTTGTTGTATAAGAATAAGAAACTGACATTGATTGTTAATGTAACTACTGTTCAATGTGAGGTGAGATATTCTTGTTAAAGGAATCATTTTTTTTATCTCCTCTCCCCCGAAAGACAACATGCTAAGTCACCCACTGGATGTTCCATTCTAAGGTGCTGTTTTTTTTTTTTTTTAGATAAGAGTTATTTTTCAGACTAAAGTTCAAATGCAAATGTGAAGAAATTCAATCAATTAATCATAATTATTTGTTTTTGTAGCCCGTTTGAAAATAGTTAAAAATTCTAAGCTGCATTCTGTTTTGATAATCCCAAACTAAAACCCTTTTTTATACGACCGCAAAAAAAATTTGCGTTCGTATATTGGTATCATGTTGTCGTCTTCGTCGTCGTCGTCAGCCTCGTCCGAAGACACTTAGTTTCCGGACAATAACTTTAGTTTAAGTTAATGGATCTCTATGAAATTTAAACACAAGGTTTGAAACCACAAAAGGAAGGTTGGGATTGATTTTGGGGTTATGGTCCCAACAGTTTAGGAACAAGGGGCCCAAAAAGGGTCAAAATAAGTATTTTTCTAGTTTCTAGACAATAACTTGGGTGTAAGTGTATGGATCTTTCTGAAATTGTACAACAAGGTTCCATACCAAAAAAGGAAGGTTGGGATTGATTTTTGGGGTTATGGCCCAAACTGTTTAGGAATTAGGGGCCAAAAACAATACTTTTCTAATACTTTATATAAATTGCTTATTTCTTGACCAATTTCAATGGGGTTTTATTCTTGAATTTTTGGGGTTCTTTAATATGCTGAATCTAACCGTGAATTAAGTTTTTTGGAATTTAGGCCCCGTTTTTTAGTTGGTCCACATGAGGTCCAAAGGGTCCAAAATTAAACTTTGTTTGATTTCTTCCAAAAATTGAATTATTGAGGTTCTTTGATATGCCGAATCTAACTGTGTATTTAGATTTTTAATTGTGGGTCCCGTTTTCAAATTGGTCCACATTAAGGTCCAAAGGGTCCAAAATTAAACTTAGTTTGATTTTAACAAAAATTGAATTCTTGGGGTTCATTGATATGATGAATCTAATCATATATTTAGATTTTTTTATTATGGGCCCAGTTTTCAAGTTGGTCCAAATTGGGGTCCAAAATTAAACTTTGTTTGATTTCAACAAAAATTGAATATATGGGGTTCTTTGATATGCTTAATCTAACCATGCATTTAGCTTTTTGATTTTTGGGCCCCGTTGGCGTTATCAAATTGGTCCACATTGAGGTCAAAAGGGTCCAAAATTAAACTTTGTTTGATTTCATCAAAAATCGAATTACTGGGTTCTTTGATATTCCAAATCTAACTGTGTATTTAGATTTTTAATTTTTGGTCCCGTTTTCAAATAGGTCTACATTAATTAAGGTCCAAAGGGTCCAACATTTAACTTCGTTTGATTTTAACAAAAATTGAATTATTGGGGTTCTTTGATATGCCAAATCTAACCGTGTTTTTAGATTTTTAATTTTTGGTCCCGTTTTCAAATAGGTCTACATTAATTAAGGTCCAAAGGGTCCAACATTTAACTTCGTTTGATTTTAACAAAAATTCAATTCTTGGGGTTCTTTGATATGCTGAATCTAAACATGTATTTAGATTTTTTATTATGGGCCCAGTTTTCAAGTTGGTCCAAATTGGGATCCAAAATTTAACTTTGTTTGATTTCAAAAAAAATTGAAGGTATGGGGTTCTTTGATATGCTAAATCTAACCATGTAATTAGATTTTTTATTTTTGGGCCCTGTTATCAAATTGGTTCTTATTGAGGGCAAAAGGGTCCAAAATTAAACTTTGTTTGATTTCATCAAAAATTGAATTCTTGGGATTCTTTGATATGCTGAATCAATCCATGTATTTAGATTTTGGATATTGGACCATAATAGGTAAAAACAAAATTTAAGTTCATTAGACCACATTCATTCTGTGTCAGAAACCTATGCTCTGTCAAATATTTAATCACAATCCAAATTCAGAGCTGTATCAAGCTTGAATGTTGTGTCCATACTGGCC